GGTGTGAGCAACTTGAAATAACAATGTGTTGTGAACATGTGATGTGCTATGTGGTGAGAGTGTGTGGTGTGGAAAGATAATCCGAGCATATGACATGATAATTTGATATAGTAATGCCAAAACATGATTGGGTAATGTTAAAAGCAGGCATGTGAGGGTGTGATGTGAGGGTATGATGTGAAAATGAAATTGAGTATGGAATGGATGTTTGTGACATGAATGTCCATTGTAATGTGAGCATGTGATGTGAGGGATGTGCGGAGATCATGAGGAAACGTGATGTGAGTATATAACAATGAGATGCAATTTATGAAGGGACAATGTAACGTGATCATGTAACATGACTTGTTCATATCAAACGGTTATGTCGCATGCTAACATCTTATTCTCCCATCATGTGTACATTCTATGGTAACATATCACATTCAATTCATATGTTTCTGTTATAATGTCATATCACAAACATAGTCACATCAAATCCACACATCCCATCCTCACGTTACATGCCCACATTGCATGCTCGCATCACATTGCATCCTTGACTCACGGCATGTGGTAGGGATATGTTATGTGATTTGGTAAAATGGATTGAACATTGTCAATAAAAGTAAAGGATGATGAAAATCAGATACGGCAGAAGATCAGAGGGCATTAGCAAATGAGAATGGTAGAGAGGGAAGGGGAGAGAGTGGACTAAGAAAGCCTTACACCAAGAGCTATGGGGACAAATGGCAGATACGAAAGAACAGAAAATCTGGGTGTAATTGAAGGTTTAGAAGAGGGGCAGAGACTAATGATCATGGGATTCTGTAAGCTGTGGTGATAAGGGGAGAGGGATGGGCAGGAATAAGGAGGAAATTATGCAGAGGGGTAATACAATTATTTTTGCTTGCTGCCAAATGGCACACATCATATTCCTTGAGGCATATTGATGCCACAAGCCCCAACCTCAAAACGACCATTCCCCAATTCCTTCATTTCTCCCCTTGAAGCCCGCGGCCCAAAACGTTCATGCTTTAGAAACATGACAAGGCCTAGGTGCTGGGTGTGGAGTAACAAGAGGTTTGGTTTCGTGTTTTTTTTTTTTTTTTTTTTTTTGAGTCCGCAATGCACGGGGGGCAGGAGCTCGGCTGAGTTGCAAGAGTCCCGAATTGCAATGACCCAGTTTCCAAGTTCCCGTAGGCCAACCTACCCAAACCTCCCCAGTCAAGATTAGAACCACTCTGCTGCCTTCGTGAGCTGCGTAACCCCAGTTTTGTGAAAAAGACACCCACAAAACTTGGGGTTTCAAGTTTTTAAAACTTAAACCTTGCGGCACGCAATTTGGGACTCGGGCTTTAACCCTGTCTTCCCTCTCCCATCTCTCTTATTCCCCTTTTCTACCCACACACTTTCTGTCTTTGTGCATTTCTTCACTTCTATGCGCCTCCATGTGTTTACTTCCAGTATGCTCCACTGCCTATGTTCTCCATGCCTCCTTCCCATAACTCCCTGCACGCTTCTCTCTACTTATCCTCTCTCCTCCACCTCCCCTCGCTCCCCCAGCGGAGTCTCGGCCATGAAAGTCTTTGTTCGCTCGTATCTTGAGGTCTCCTCCTTCCAGCAGCTTCCTCTCCACTCCTCTCTCCCTCCCCTTCTCTTCCCCTCTCCTCCCCTCCCCCACCTGTCACTTTCCCTAACCCCACAACCTCTGCCCCCTCTGCCCAAGCAGGGGTCGGTTTGATCTAATCAAGCAGGGGTCAGTTTTAACTACCCAAGAACTTTGCATGTCTCCTCTCCACCCCACTCACTTACCTCTCAAGGAACCCCAATCAATACGTCGATACATGTGACTCCCTGTCGGCACATCCCCTCCCTCCCTCCCCACTCCCCTCTCCTCCCCGTCTCTGCCCACCTCCTCCTCCCCTCCCCCCCCTCTTCCGCCACCTCTGCCCCCTCTTCCGCCATCCCCCATAGCAGTGTCTCCTCCCTCTCCCCTCTCTCCTTCTCACCCCCCTTTATATCCACACAGTGCCTTCTGTCATGCTCCAGGGGAGAGGCATGCCCACAGGACACAGGTGGTGGCTAGAGAAGGGAACGAAGAGGAGGGAAGAGGGAAAGGTGAAACAAGCCCAAGACTCCCCATTTACCTCTGCACAATGCCACCTCCCCACAGCAAAGGTCGCCTGCGCGCAGTGCAAGTGCATGAGAAGAGAGTGGGTGGAGGAGAGCTGGGGGGGAATGAGAGGGGTTGTGGGAGAAGGGGAGTTTTTGTGCATCACCAGCATCTCCAGGTTGGACACAACTATAGCCCCACGCAGGACTGTGCATTGGTTGGCTGGCCAAGACAGGGACGAGGAATGAAGAATGATAAGAGGAGGAGGAGGGCCCTCGGGGAGAGGGAAAAGGAAAAGTAGGGCAAGGTGGAGCAACGAGGGTTCAGGATATGAGGAAGGTCAATAGATGCGACCGTGTGAGGGGCAATGCGGGAACATTGTTGGAGACGAAGCGCACGGAGTCATTTACATGAGGGCTGAGACGAGCTCTGCGGGGGAGATGGACAACGCTGACAGAGGGGAGATGCATGGAAGGGGTAGCGCTAGGAGAGGGGAAATACAGGGAGAAGGGCAACGCGAGGGGAGGGGCAATGTGGGAAGACGGTAAATTGGAGGAAGAGTAATGCGCGTTGGATGGCAATGTGGGTGTGGCAATACGAGTGAGGGGGCAAGCAGCGGTGAAGCCTTGCAATGTGGACGCGGGAAGGGTGGGTATACGGCGAACGCATTGCATCAGAGGTTTCCTTTGTCACAAACGCGAATTCTTGTTTGCGAGGTATGGCAATGTCAAGGGTGCACCAGGAATTTCGTCGTACGTGCATGAAAGGGTGTGCAGGCGCTGGATTCTATGAAGGTATTCAGACACGTCACATCGCATGTGGGTGTGACGATTCCCTAATACAGTAACAGAAATGCGGGGCGTATGTTGCAGGAGTGGGGTGTCCGCAGAGGGAAAATGGGGACTGCAGCCCATGCCACCGCAAACTCAGTATTGGGCGTTTGGGAAGCAGAGCTCAAGAATGGGAAGGGTTTTACCAGCGGGAGTTGTCGAGTCACAGCCGAACTCCTCAAACCAACCTGAGTAGGACCGGCGGACATGAGCCTTCAAGCATCGGTTCACAGCTACATCGAGAGGTTGGATGATCGGCGTGCATCCGCCAGGAATCACAACCCGCGAGAGTTTGAAGAGACGCATCAATGCCGCCACCCCCTCGATCAGATGGCCTTTGTAGGAGTCGAGCACAATGAGGGCCTTCTGCCACCAGCCTCAATGCGTAGAAATTCGCTTCAAAAAGGGGACGAGGACCATCGTAATCCAGTCCACGTGGTTCTCATCCATCCATCCCTTCTCCTGTGCTTGGATGACGATTCCCGCATGCAAAAATGAAATGAACAGACAGAGTAGTGTTAGCTTTTAAGTACGGTACATGTAACAATGAGACACACCAAGACCCAGTTGTTACTGACCTGGTGGGACTCGTACCTTCGAGAGCGTCTTGCGCTTAAAGATTACATATGGCTTCAGCTTGTGCCCGCCAGCAGTGACTGCCAGCATGACAGTGAACCACTCCTTTTCATAGCCAACTGTGCGAACATGCACCGTCCTTGAACCCTGGACTTCCGGTGTAGTCTCTTGGGGCATTTCTTGGAACAAGGGAGTTTGATCGGTGTTGATGATCAAGTTGTCAGCATACTTGTTCAGTGTGCGCATTGGCGCACGAACTCCCAGAACTTCTCCACGTTTGCCTCACAATCTGCAAAGGAGTCAGCATACGAGGTGAGTGTACATGCTTCGGTTCTTAGAGCATAATTAATGGGAAACCGCCAGCAAAATAGCTCCAGAGCTTGCATATCAACAGCATAACACACCGCTGGTTAGGCGCTGGCCCATCTTTGTCTTGACGCGCCGTGTCAATCCCCAATGCGTGCAGAATCGGAAAGTCCAACAGGATGACGCACGCCAGTCGACACCGGGATGGCGCTTCCGCATGAACTTCTTACTCCACTTTTGCAAACAGCTGCCGACACCGTCAAGCTGCATGCACGGTGTGAGAGGAAGCGGTTGTACATCTCCTTCTCCATGTCAGGGAACTTCGCCTTGCGTCCAGCACCGATGAGACCACGCCTGCATCTCGCCACCGCTGCCAGCCGTGCCTTGCTCTTCTTCCACTCCCGAATCTGACAGGGTTGGGCCTCGGTCATTCTCGCCAGCTTGTGATTCGAAAGCTTCAGGTCGGAGTCGAGATGGCCCAACGAGTATAGCTTTTTCACCCCCGTGCGCATGACTCTCTTGCGCTTGGTCCTGCAAATTCTAGGGGAGGGAGGTGCAGCATCCTGGTCAACTCGCGGCATGTGGGGGCGACGGCTGGGTTGAGGGAAAGATGGAACTACGACACGAGGAAGTGTCGGGGTTGGCTCTGGCTCTCCGTCAGCAGCATCTTCCCAGTGTAGCTGATCATCGCCCTGCCAGTCGTTGTCCCATTCCTCAGGACGAATAGCAATCGGAGATGATTGAAAGGGAGGTGCGTGAGGAACAGGTGGGGCAGGAGGTGCAGGAGGCACGGGAGACGCAGGCAGTGCTGGCGGCGGAGGTGGTGCTGGAGGAATCGACGGAAACAGACGGAGAAGAAACTGACTACCGTGGGGAGGACAATGGGTTTGTAAAACTGAGAGGCTGCTAACAGCACGGGCCACCATGGCTGAATCTCTGCCTACGATATCTCCTTGACGGCCGCTAACATCCACGGTAATGCCCGCCCAACACCTTTCCTTGTATTTTTTATTAAGTCCATAGGGTCCTATTGCCGGCCGGGAGATTACGGTACCACGGTACTATTTAGGTGATATCAAGCCTCCAAACGACTTCACGATATTTTAGCAAACTTTATGCAAACGAAGCTTTTCAGCATTCCTGCCAATACTTTTATTGAATATTGTGCATTAGAACAGCACACCCTGGCCAAAATGCAACAAGCCAAAACGCTTGCAAGCCCATCAAAGCAGCCCAAAAGCGAGAAGCTATCGTACGTATCTCAATTTTATCCCAATTTTTTCAAAGCACCCCATCCCCTCACCCCATCCCCTCAATCCCGCCACCTTTTCTGCACTTTTTTACACCTCACCAGCAGCGAGCATGAACACCCCTCTATTATTTCTGCTGATCTCTACCTTATTCGTTCAAACCCCTTGCCTCCTGATCCTCCACACTTGTGATTGGACCTCTGAAGCCTGGCCAGCAGCACACTTAATTCTTTCACCCCGATGCCTCCTGATCCCCCTCACTTGTGCTTGGACCTCTGAAGCCTCACCAGCATCACATACGTGAGCAGATACACAGCAAGCCCAAACACCAGCAGCACAGCCAAGCACTCCCACTTCCCCAGCTGGTCAACCGACCGCCACATCAGCAGCTGGATCCCATTCAGCATACACCCCCCCGAACCCAGCCCACCCTCCTCCACCTGCTCTCTCAATTCCGGGGAAATTCCGTTTAGGAATGACTCGGGAAGAGGGGTAGCAGTGAGTTTGGAGAGGAGCTGGTCGTATAGGTGCTCCAGGACCTGAGTGGTGTTGAAGGAATGGGCGGTTACGATTCGTGGCAATCTCCCTGAATCCGGCAAGCTGGGGATGGTGCTGGGAAGGTACGCCGTGATGTCCTTGACGTTCAGGTACCACGGCTCGAGCCTGGAAGGGAATGGAAGGGTTGAGAGAGACGGTAAGGTGAGGGGAATGGAAGTGTTGAGAGAGACGGTAAGGTGAGGGGAATGGAAGGGTTGAGAGAGACGGTAAGGGGAGGGGAATGGAAGGGTTGAGAGAGACGGTAAGGGGAGGGGACTGGTAGGAGGTTGATGGTGCTGGGACGGGGAGGATGGATGCGGTACGAGGTGCCCTTGGCGTTCGTTCATGGAGCAGCGCTCGAGGCAGGAGGAGAATAGATGGATTGAGGCAACGAGCGTAAGGTGATTCAATTGTAATGAGAATGACAAATGTGCATTCACAGAAGCATGCGATTCGATAAACATCGAATGCCTGCATACACGCCTACAACTCTCCTCAGAAACTGGTTTGAGTCGACAAACATCATATGCCTGCATACTAGCGAGGGCCTCTCAAACAAACTTCTGAGTTGACTCACAACCATGTATGCCCGCATCTCACCTTGCGAATTGGTTGATCGCGAGAGCTTCATAAGCGTATTTGAAGGGCGATAAGTAGTGTAACCAAATGAGCACACTGGGTATTTGTGTCCTTGTGACATAGAAGCCGCTAACGAGGAAGCAGTAGGACATAATGGAGATGGCAAGTGCATATCCGAGGACAATACTGTGACAGAGGGAAGGGGGAAGGAAGGAGGGAGGCAAGATGGGGGGGGGGGGGGGGGTGGAGAAGGAGGGAAGGATTGAGGGAACATGAGGGATCCATGCAGGCAGCAAGTTGATATGAGAGAGATGGCAAGTGTATATGCCAGGACTGCAGAGCAAGGGAGGGGGAAGGAAATGGTATTGGGAAATATGGAAGCACAGAGGGAGGAGGGCGATGGAGAGAGGTGCCTGTGCTGCAAAGAAAGAAAGAAGTTAAGAAAAAAACCGCTTCTGGGCAGGAAAAGGTGAACTATGAAGGGGACTTGGAGAAAGCATGCAAGGGGGGAGAAGAATGCGCAAGGGCATGAAGGAGAGGAAGAACTTGAATCCATATGAAGCACTAGGATGGATGGTCACTGGTCACTCACTCCTTGACACAGACGCTGATGCATGTCGCCATGCCCTTGGCGACAAAGAACATGACAAAATACGCCACCACCATGAACAGAAACCCCTCCGTGCCGCCCGCCAGGCTGATGCTCCACCAGGAAACGGCCGTGAGAAGTAACGCCACGAGAAGTAAACGGCCGTGAGAAGTAAACAGCCGTGAGAAGTAATGCCGAACTGTAACGGTAGGTACACTAGGATTAATGCCACGAGATACGTTGAAGGCCTGTACGCATTATTTGCTGATTCGCATTTGAATATTGCACATTCCTGTGGGAAGGGTGAGTGGTGGTCGGAAGTTGAGGATTATGCAGCTGAATGCGTGTAATTCATATAGAAACCCCCTTTAAATGAATGTAAATACGCAATGTAACACACCCTAACGAATCTGACAAACCTCAAAGAGCGCAACACACCTCAAAGAGTGAAACGCTCCTCAAAGAGCAAAGCACACCTCAAAGAGTGCACAACATCTCAAAGAGTGCATAACATCTCAAAGAGCGCAATACACCTCAAAGAGCGAAACGCACCTCAAAGAGCATAGTGTGTAGCACACCTCGATGAAAATCGGCACGGCATCACAGGAGCTGTAGAAGACAATGCAGGCGGCGCAAGACAGGAAGGACATCCGAATCAAGACTCCCTCGGGCCTGCATTCCCTCATCGCATGAACGCGGGAAAGTGGGGGAGCGGGGGGAACGGGGGGAAAGTGGGGGGACGGGGGGAACGGGGGGAAAGTGGGGGGACGGGGGGAACGGGGGGAAAGTGGGGGGACGGGGGGAACGGGGGGAAAGTGGGGGGACGGGGGGAACGGGGGGAAAGTGGGGGGACGGGATGAATGGGGGGAAGGGGGAAAGGGGGGAAGGGGGGAGGAAACAAGAAGTGCATAGTGAAGGAAAGAAGAAGAGGCTTTCACAAGACATGACAGCCGAATCAGCCCTTCCTCAAGCCTGCATTCAGCTGGCAGGGGAACTCAAAGCAGGAAGAGGAGGAAAGCAGGAAGAGAAGGAAAGCAGAAAGAGGAGGAAAGCAGGAAGAGGAGGAAAGCAGGAAGAGGAGGAAACCAGGAAGAGGAGGAAAGCACATTATTATAGTCACTCTCAGCTCCTTGTTCGCTTTTGAGCAAACTCAAGAGCGACTAGAAAGCACCTTCAAATATTCCCTCCCACGTCCTTGTTCCTTCTCTATTATCCAACCACTCGCCTGTCCATTGCCGGACCGGACCGGATCTTCCAAACCCTGGCACCACACTAGACCACTAAATATAACCAGCCTAGAACCACACCTCACCATCCACTCTCCAACCTAGCACCAGACCTGACCATCCATTCCCCGACCTAGCATGAGACCCCAGCCACGTTGGCTGGTCCCCTTACGTTTCCTTTGGTCTCCAGAAGAGGATCGCTAGAAGCAGCCCCGTTACAAGGATGAGCACCAGCCTCAGAAGGTACTGTGCAGGTGTGCGCATGACGTTCACTGTAGCTCTCTTCGTCAGCAACCACAGCTCCCAGAACCATCCGTTAGCAAACTCTGGGCGGTCTTTCTCCTTCCTCACTGTCTTCTGCGGCTCGTCGTCCGGCTGCCCTTTGCTGGGTTGCCTCCAAACCAGCTTCCCCATGGAAGACTTTGGGGTAACTGCATCGCTCTTAACCTCCAGCGCCTTCCGAGCCGCCAGTACAGGGTTGGCTGCACCGGCTTTGCAGGCTTGGACGTAGGCTTGGATGTCTGCAACACCCTGGGCCTGTAGCACTGCCATGACGTCCAAGCCATGCTCTGTGCTGTTGGATCCCTCTGGCACCGGGCTGCCGAGAGACGAGAGGAAATCCGGAAGGCCGGCAGGTGGGCCCAAGTATGCCGTCTGGCCCACGCCCAGCAGAAGAAGCTTGTCGATGAGGCAAAGGACTCGATATGATGGCTGACGAACAAAACAAATAAATAGAGAAAACGAAGAGTGGGAAGGGAGGAAGGAAAGACGGGGGAGGGAGGAGGCGTTAAGTTCAAATGTGCGTGAAGTCATAAATTTGTTTTTGGTTGAAGATGAGTGGGAGAATAAAAGACGGAATTTATGTAGGTTGTGAGCTTACCTGGTGAATCACCATTACGGAGATGCTCTCAGTCTGAACCGCGACGGACTTAATAGCGCGTACAACACGAAACGCGTTTGTGGAATCCAGCCCCGAGGTAGGCTCGTCGAGATACAGGATCTTGGGGTCGCTCACCATCTCCACCCCTATCGCCACTCGCTTTCGCTCACCGCCAGAAACGCCTCTGCGAAAAATCGGAGAGTAACGTTGGGGAGGAGAAATATAGTGAGATACACGCAGTTTACATACATTTTCGGGTGGGCAGGGCTGGATGTCCCTATTTCAAGTTTCGGGTTCAGGATTTCAGATTCTGACCAGCATGTCATAGATTTACCTGCTAGGCCTTCCAGGGACATGGCACACGACCTTGCAGGTTAGTGGGAAAGCACTTCCAGCGTCTGCCGCGTTTGGCGCTCGCCTCTGCCCAATCGCGATAGGCCCCCTGAAAATATAAGTTACAAGCTCGCCTCTTCCCAAACGCTCTCGGCCATAGAAAAAAAATGTTTCACGCTCACCTCTTCCTTTCGCCGCCAATCAGCGTCTCCGCCACTTTCGCGAGCCCAAGCAGATCGATCAGCCGCGCGACCTTATCCTCCTTCGCCCTCCACGAAAGCTGTGGTCCCAGGCGAAGCTCCGCGGCGTACATGAGCGTTTCGCGCACCGTGAGCGACGTATAGAGAATATCGTCCTGCATCACGTACGCGGAAACGCGCCGCATCATCCCCCCGCTCACTGCGACCGCGCCTTCCCCCGCGTCCAGCTCCACCGTCCCCTTCCGCCGCCCCGACGAGATCCGCTGCGCCAGGATGTTTAGCAGCGTCGTCTTTCCGCCGCCGCTTGCGCCCATGATCGCGGTCACCTCCCCCGACCGCGCCTCGCCGGTCACGCCCGTTAGGATCTGCCGCCGAACGCGCTTCTGGCGCATCCCGCCGATCCCTCCGCCGCCTGGTGCGGCGCTGGTTCCGCCGCCCGACGCAGTGGCTTGCGCCTCGGCAGCAGGCGCCTGAAAGCTCCGCTGCGGCAGTCCGGGGATACTCGCGAGTGTGCTGTCCATCCGCGGGAACTGGCCTCCAGCGGGAGGATCCCCCTTGCGCTGCTTGACGAGCACGGAATACGTGATGTTGCGGAAAGTCAGCACGGAAATGGGGACGGCGGGCGTCGCCCCGGCGCCGACAGGAGGCACGGATTTCCGAAGCGCCTCGACGTCGATCGCCAGGTCCTCGGACGACGACGCCGTGGAAAACGCGTCGTCGTCAAACTCGTCGTCGGAAAAGGCGGCGTCGTCCACGGATGTGTCGTCAGCGTCGTCACCGTCGTCGAAGGTAACGTGGGAGTCGGGTCTGGGAGCGGGAGGCCGCTGCTGGTGCTGGGCCGCCGCGGCGTGGGCGGTCGCAGGGCCGGGCATGATGGTGAAACAACATAAGAAATGGAGAAATTGGGTTGGAAGAAGCCGGAGTGGCGTCAATGGCAGTGCAGCAGCGAGCTCGGCTGGCCTTAGATGCTAGTACCATACTAGGATGTCTCAACAGAGCCTCTTTTATGGCAAAGGGAAAGGCACATAGCGGAAGGCCAGTTTGACTGAGTTGGGCTCGTATGTTGTGTTCTTCCATTCGGGTAGAGGCTGTGGTCAAGGCGCGACTGACTTACTTTCTCGGGAGCTGCTATAATACTCGCGCGACTCGCAACGCGTAAGCCGACGTGGTCTGCGGCGTATTCTAGGAGATACTATGTGGTGGAATAATTGGGAGGGCGAATTGTTGCATCGCATTAGGTGAATGGCTTCTGTGAGAGGAGAAGACGAAAAATCGCTACTTCGCGTTTTGAATTCCTTCTGGAGGTACAATCCGCGCATACCCCGTCGGTGCGCGTCACGAATATCTTTGGAAGGGTCCATAACATCAGATACGAATTTCCATGGATTTGTACACTACCGGGGTCAGCCCCTCCCGATAAATGTTCCAACAGTGGCTAGAAACAGTGTCGCCGCATCTTGTCGAATTGATCTGCGCGGCCGATACTAACCGACACAATCATAACAAATCGGCGATCTGCAAGTGACAACAACAATTGAGCAGCGCATGCGCCAAAATATGTCGGTCACGCGTTGCTGGAGCTTGCAGCATAATAATTAAAACTGGGCGATAAATACGTACAGAACATGTAGTCCGCAGGCAAAAGCCAAAACCCAGGCGGAATGACACCAACCCAAAACTCACAAAAGGGCCGCGAATTTGGGGTTGATGTCATCCCTTGTGACATGTCGGGCCCCTACGGGTTCTAGTTATTTTCTTGCCAGATAACCTGCCCGGATCTATCGTTATTGTCGCTTGTTGTCGTTAAATCACGATTTAATAGCCACCCCCTGCTACGAAACAAAATGTCACTGGAACCATGGGTTATTTCACCCAAACCCGGGTACGGATGAAAAACGTTTAACTTTGCATAATTTCGTATCCGGGGATTTCACGCCTTCCAAAGGTATTCGTGTCGCGCACCGAGAGGGGGTGCGCGGATTGTACCCTCCTGAAGGAATTCAAAACGCAAAGACGTGATTGTCAGTCTCTTTCTTCATTTGCGAAGTGTGGCGAGGAGAGAGCAGGAACGACCAATGCATCCGCGGCTCGGAGTTGTTGTAACGTAACGGGTTGTGCAATTTCGAGAGGTCTATGCTTTCATAATCAAATAATACATCATTTGAACACGAATTTGACTTCAACAAGGAGACCCCATGCTTACACATTGATATTTATATTTATATATTGACTTCTTCAATATGTGAAATTCCGGCGGTCTTAATACATCGGAGGGGGGAGAGTGTATTAAAAAATCCTTTTCCTGGGATTAGATTAGCCCTCAGAGTGTAAAATATGTATTTTATCGCATTCATCGTATCAGAACATTTGAATAAGGGTGCCTCCAACCAGTATATATTATGACATAGAACCAGATAGTTAGAATGAATTTTCCTGCAGTTGCCTTCTGTAACCGTGCCGGAGGGGTTCATGGGTGTCGCGAATTGACGAACCACCAGAGTGGAGGAGTGTTGGAATCTCGACGAGAGTCAAGAAGTGTTGGAATCCCGCCTTCGAGGACATCAAAAGATTTGAGTGGTTCGAGGGAAGTTAGTCAGATTCACCTTGACTCCCTAACTTATTTCCTCGACCGCATGAATAATACCCTCGTCCACGCGTTCCGAAAGTCAGATTCAACCTGACTTCTTAAATTATTCCCTCAGTCCCCTGAATGATATCCTCATCCACGCGTTCCGAACGTCGAATTATCCTCATCCAGGAGTCCTCAAATTATTCGTCGAACGCGCGTCGTTCCCTCCCCACTGCTGGTCGCGGCGCGGCCCTTCATGAAGTCACAGCTATGCTCGGGGGTGAGTGAGACCACCCGACTCAGGCGACCGGCATCGAAGATCAGTATGAAAATGCCACGGGCTCGCAGCCGTTTCATCAGCGCCCCACGGAGGCCCACTCGCGATCCCAACCCACTCGTGACTCCAAACCTTCCGCACCGCCCGTGTCAAAATTCTGAGTCGGACTTGCCAAACCTTTTCGGAAAAGCTCGCCAGCCAGCACTACTACTATCTGCTATTCGGAATCCCGCTACTAGCGGTAAATACTACTACGAGTAGTATTTGTAGCGATGGCTCGGCGCTTCCCCTTCTCCACGACGCTCGCCGCGGCAGCGGTGCTCGTCGCTTTCGTCCTCGCGCTCTCGGCACGTGTAACGCCTGCCGCGGCAGCCGCAGACTCTGCGGCTGATTCATCGTCCTTCGCCTTGATTACCGCCGGCCGAATCCTCCGCGCCGTGCTCTCTGCGGCGCGCTTCCCCAGCTGCCACCACTCAGCGCCGCCGTTACCGCTGCCGCGCCTCCTCTCCGCCGGAAGCAGCGCGCCGAGGCGATCTCTGGGGTTGCTTCAGGCGGTGCCAAAGTTTTTAGAGACGTTCCTGCTGCCGCCGCCGCCGCCGCCGCGGGAGGCGGCGGGAGCTGCGGAAGCCGTTCCGTTCGACCTGCGGCTTGCCGTGCTGCTGGGCGGATTCGAATTGAGGCGTACTCGACTCCCGCTGTAAGCACATGATGCTCGACTCCCACAGTAAGCGGAATTCCTTTCAGCCAATGGACGCATGCGCTTGCCAGGAGCTCGGAGTTCCTAGTGGAACGGACATGGGAGATGTGCTGGGGAGAGTGGTGAAGGGGGAAGCAAGGGGGAGGGGCGAGGATGGATCTTTTCTATATATTCTTAGTCGACAAGCGCCTCCGGCTAGGCTACTTATCGATCTCCTTGATCTCACGATTCCAACGGTATGCTCAGAGTAGCTGAAAGTCGTCAATACGAGATGCAGCAATTTTCTGAATCCAATAATTCGGAATGAGATACAAAGCACGAACTGAAACAACACATATATGCATTTCGGATTTCAGCTAAGTGCTTCGTAACACCGCGTGCGTCTCGCTGTAACGTGTGCGCCTCGAGTACCCCAAGTCGCACTCCACCAAAACTGAACGCGCTCCGCGTTGGTTTGGCACCGAAACCGACACCAAGTTCGGTTCCACTGAACGTGCACGTAATGCACTCCTCTTCCAACCTCCAATTCCCCGCACAACACTTCTAGCAGCTGCTGTTGCCTCACGCATCCTTTCCAGCAGCCGTGCAATCCTTCCTTCCTCCTCGTTTCCTTCTCCCTTCTTCTCCGCTTTCCTCCACCACATTTCTTTCGTGCTCCCACCGCATATCGCTGCATCACCGTTCCTCCTCCGCACCTAGTGCCGCCATCATGCCGCTGGATTAGGGTAGGTCCGTCGTTGGGTAGGGCAGCGCCGAACCATCTTTAACAACCTCCCCTGTGGTTCGGGGCTGTCAAACCTATCCCCAAGCCTATGACATGCAATCACACCAACTTCACAAAACCCTTGTATCTTTATACTTCCCCATGTCTTCCAAGTCTTCTTTTTGCAGGTCTTCTTGCCATGTCCTCCCCTGCAATTCAGCAAGCCGCTAATGCCTCTTCACTCCCCTCTGCCTTTTCTTGGTCGTAGGTATCCCCAACTTCTGTTTCTTGCCCTTCTTCTTCCTCATGCCTTTCCCACTCATCTTGGCACTACTCCCCTGCACCTCCTTGCTTTTTGCCTCTTGCTCAATCAGCCCCACTTGCTGTCCCTTCAAGAATATCTCACCATGCTCATCTTCTCCTTCGATCTCCACATGCTCCACGCATTCCACCTTTACTGCTGCTGCCCTATTTTCACCAATTTCCTTGCTGCCCTTCTCTTCTTCAGCTCCATCTCCTATCTCTGGTTCCTCTACCACTCTATTCTCCTCTTCTTCCTGCAATTCTGCTGCCCAATCTGTTGCCTTTGGCTTCTCCTCCCAATCTGCTCCCACAGCTTCATGCTCCACTTTCACGTCCTCATTCATGCTCGCTGCTGTATCTCCAACCTCCCATGCTTCTGCAACTTCAGCTCCTGACCCATCAATCTCATGACTCATCTCATTTCCTTTACTCCCCTCGAAGATCTCCTTCACAGCTATCTTAGGGCTCATATCCATCTCATAGACTCCATGCTTCAGTTCTCCATCAGCCACTCTTTCCCATTCTGGACCTAAGACCGAAACTCTTCCACTCTCACTGAAGACTTTGCAGCCAAGCTTATCCAACTGAGCTTGACTAATCAGATTCACTGCAAGCTTCTCTACCACCAATACTCCCTTCAACTTCAGCTCACCAAAAGGACTACGCAGCACTACATCTCCCTCTCCCTTGACAGGTAACTTCTCATTATCTCCCAAGAGAATAAATGATTCCTTTGAATCTCTCAGGTTCTCAACCCACTCATACCTGTTTGTCATGTGTTGGGTGCTGCCGCTATCAAGGATCCACGTCGCTGCATTATCTCCCTTCACTTGCTCCTCACTTATACGCACCACATTCGCACGAT